TTATATAAGGAAAATGTCATAAAAATATGATTCTTAGCATTATAGTCTCAAGATGTGTCCATTTTCCTACAAATGACTACATTTTTCTTTTTTATGGCAGAGTAGTACTCCATTCACATTTTCTTTATCCATTCATCTGTTGATGGACATATAGGTTGCTGTTTCCAAGGTATAGCTGTTATGAATTGTGCTGTTATAAACATGGATATATATGTGTTATATGTATAATATGGTATCTTTAACTCTTTCAGGAAGATACCTAGAGGGGGAATGGCTGAGTCAAATGGAATTTCTAGTTTCAGTTTTTTGAGGAATCTCCATACTGACTTCCATAGTACTTGTACCACTTTACATTTATACCAACAATGTAGAAGGATTCCTTTTTCCCCACAGCCTTGCCAGCATTTGTTATTACTTTATTTGATTTCTTGATGATGACAAGGTTAAATATTGCTTGGTTTCTATCATGTGAGAAACCCAAATTATAAATAAAGAGCAAAATAAAAGATAAGATAATAGAAGTATGAAGATAGATCTCTTTAACATGAGAAGGGGATCAAGAGATGGAGGGAAAGGGAAAAAGAGGAGGGAAAGGGGATGTAAAAAGGAATTAATGTGTTATGCACATGTACCAACTCCACACAAGGAATGTAAATATGCACTACAAACATGTACCAAAAAATATTACCAATATGATTCTTAATAGTTTACATTCTACAAAAAATGTTTTTATCTGATGGAATATCATTCATGTGCCTCAGCAGTATTGAAAGAGGCATAGTTACAATACTGTGTTAGTTCACAAAGAGACATTACACATGGCATATCAGAAAAGGCTTCACAGAGGAATATGCTTTAAGATGGGTTTTGGATGATAGATGAAGACAGCACTAACATTTGTAGAGGGTTTTATAGTTTACAGAGCACTTTTTTTCTCATTTTATTATTTGTGTTTCACAACTGTCCAGTGGCATTAATAGAGTAGCAGAGAAGCATGGTGAAATAGATGGGAGATGAGATTAATTGGAGACTACTGGGGGCACAGGGCATGGCTGGAGATCCTAAAGTGACTTGAATGTGTCACTGAAAGTTGCAACTTCAGTTCATAAATGTTCTGAAACCATTAAAGAGTTTCAGGTAAGGGCACTGTTTCTCTGATGTGAGAAACTGAAAGTGGAAATAAGGACTGAAATGTATAATAAATATTGGGAAATGGGAAAAAAGTGTTCAAATGGGAAGGAAGGGGAACAAGCAAGGAGGGAGGCAGAAAGGAAGGGACAAGAAAAGAAGTGAAAATAGAAGGAAAAAATGGAAACAAAGCTTCTGTACATAGGTAGAGGTGAGGGTTTCAGGGGGGGATGGAATAAAATAAAATTTATTTTTAAAAGTTTCAGGTAAGGAAGCAGTCTCTTCCCTTTTTTGATGATCTTAAAATTTTTAAACTTGAACATCTGAGTACATTCCAATCGTAAAAGTAAAGATAGAGAATACAGATATGATTTTGGAGAAAGAGAAGAAATGTTATGCTGAACAGTGGATTTTGAAATTGCTATACCTGAAAAATCTGGGTAGGAAAATTAATTATAATAGATATAAAAATTTGAATTCAGAAGGGAATCCAAACCTGAAATGATGGTTTTCTAAAAGCAAACTAAAGTCAGTGGAATAGATCTGATTCCCATTCATTTTGCAAACATTCAGAGATTGCTACGTACTAACTTCTATGATAAACATAGGACACAAAAAGTGAGACAGTGTCACAGTGATTTGGGAATTCAAAGTGAAGGTAGAGCCAAACAAACACAATTATAAAACAATATGTAAGTGCCTCTTAGAGATATGTTATTCTTATTGGAAGGATTACAGAGTGTTAAATATACCTCAAAGCAAAGGCCAGAATGAATGGGAGAAGCCTTCAGAGTAGAACTGATTCACAAATAATGAATAGGAGATCAGTAGAAATTTACTAGCTGGATAAAGTGGGAATAGTATGTGCAAAGTTAAGGTCTACTTGTAGAACTAACTGTATGTAGTTAAACAGGGTTACATAGCATGTAAAGAACTATAAAGACATGAAGCTGGCAAAATAGTAATCTTCCCTATAATTAATGAGCATATGTAGGCAGTATGATTTTAAAGACATATTATTCTGGTATCTTGTCCTATTCAAACAAGTATTTAGAATATTCCAAACCATTAGAAGCATTATTTATAACATAACTAAAATGGATCAACAGCAAATTCACAAGTGAAAAATAAGCTAGTACAGTTATCTTTGAGCCAGGCTTGAGTAATAATTCCCAGTAGGCTTATTATTTTGATGCTTTATTAGTTTTGGAAAAATAATAATTGTCCTCTTCTATAGTATTATAAATGATTCTTTTAAACTCAGTTATTAACATGGAAACTTGTTATATCTGGTTAAAATTAAGAGTCTAGAATTGTAAGAAATGTTAACCACCATTAATTTTATCAAGCATTTTGTATTATGGTTAGTAGGGCTTATCAAACTTGGTAATTCAATAAAGTGGAAGCTAAAATGCTATCAATTCCAGATTGCCCTTGTTTAAAAAAAGATACCTATTAAACAAGAGTTAATGCCACCATTTGAGGAAAATTGCATGTTGGATGTTGGAATACTGTGTGCGGAAAGCTTTCTTGTCAGTTTTATTTTAAAAAGTAAAGTGGTTAATACAGTTTTTTTGTTTTGTTTTGTTTTGTTTTTACAGGTTGAAGAAGAAGGTTTGCAAATTTGTGTTGAAATATGTGGTTGTGCTCTACAACTCGACCTTCATGATGATCCTAAAACTAAATGTCTAATTTATAAAACAATTGCACATTTTTTGCCAAATGATTTGGAAATCCTCAGGATTTGTGCACTCTCAATATTTTTTCTTGAGCGCTCCCTAGAAGCTTATCATACTGTTGAAGAGCTTTATAAACGCCCAGATGAAGAATATAATGAAGGCACAAGTAGTGTTCAAAATCGCGTTCGTTTTGAATTACTTCCAATTTTGAAAAAGGGATTGTTTTTTGATCCTGAATTTTGGAACTTTGTAATGATTAAGAAAAACTGTGTGGCATTACTGAGTGACAAATCAGCAGTTAGATTTCTACGTGAAAGTACACTGGAAAACTCTACAGATAATCTAAAAAAGACAGTAGAACAGCAAGGTTTAGATGAAGAGCTTGACTCTCTTACAGATCAGAGCACTGGAGAAAATGATCCTGATGATATATCTGTAATGCAACCTAAAGATCATGTTAATACAAAGAAAAACCTTGTAGCTCTTAATACTTCCAAAGTAGATCACAATGTCCCAAGGCATCGTTGCATGTTATGTAATAAGGAATTTCTTGGTGGTCATATTGTAAGACATGCCCAGGCTCATCAGAAGAAAGGCAGTTTTTCATGTGTAATATGTGGTAGAAAATTTAGAAACAGAGGACTTATGCAGAAACATTTAAAGAGTCATGTTAAGAAGATACAAAGACAGCAAATTGCTGCAGCTCAACAGGATGATCAGGAAATCACTACTTTAGAAGAAATAAATTGTTCCAGTTCTTCCATTTCATTTGAAAATGGGAATTCTAATAATAACAGTTTGGAAGTAGAGACTCTGACTCCTTCTGCTGATGGAAAGAAAGAAATCATATCTGAGCAAGTTGCTGAATTCACTGAAATTCCCATAGGTATATCAGAAGGTATAATTGAAAACGACAGTCCTGATAATTCTTTAAACAATGTCTTAGAGCCTTTACCTCCATGTGACTATGAGGAAGATGATGAAGAATGTGATTATGAAGAAGAGGATTATGACCTGAATCAAGAAACTTCAGTACTTCATAAAATCAATGGAACTGTGTGCCATCCAAAAGACATATATGCTACAGATCAAGAAGGAAACTTTAAGTGCCCCGCTCTTGGCTGTGTCAGGATATTTAAAAAAATTGGATTTCTAAATACACATGCAAGGACCGTACATCCAACTGATTTAAATGTGCGACAAACAGTAATGAAATGGAGCAAAGGAAAATGCAAATTTTGCCAAAGGCAATTTGAAGATTCTCAACATTTTATTGATCACCTAAATAGACACAGTTATCCAAATGTGTACTTTTGTTTGCATTTTAATTGCAATGAGTCCTTTAAGTTGCCATTCCAGCTTGCCCAGCACACAAAAAGTCACAGGATATTTCAAGCTCAGTGCAGTTTTCCAGAATGCCATGAACTTTTTGAAGATCTTCCTCTGCTATATGAACATGAAGCCCAGCACTATTTAAGTAAAACACCAGAATCATCTGCACGACCAAGTGAAGCAATTCTTTTGGATGTTTGTACAGACTCAAATCCTAATCTGGAAACAGACTCATCTAGTAATGAGAAACAAACTGTTAGTCTGCCAGCTTCTACTAGCAAATCAAGAAAAGATTCTACACAACCAAAGACATGTATAGAAAAGATGTATTTGGAAAAGAAAACAGAAAGTTTAGTTCAGAACGGAAGTGAACATTCTGATGACACTGTTTCAAATATAAGCTTGATAGACCAAAAGATGCCTGAAATAGAGCCAAATTCTGAAAACAATTGTAGTATTAGTGATTCAGTCAATGGACACAGTGAAATGGAACAAATGTCTTTAGTTTCATCAGATCCTGTTTTGAAAACAGATACAAACAGAAGGACAGAAAATGGTTCTGTTTTGCCCAGTGTTGTACAAGAAAATAATACCCTGCCAGTATCTCAGGCACCATCCAGACCAAATGTTACAAGTGAACATACTTCATATGGCTTAATTTTAACAAAGCCATATGTCAGACCATTGCCTCCCAGTTACCTTGATGAACGGTACCTTAGTATGCCAAAACGCAGAAAATTTCTGACAGATAGAGTAGATGCCAATTCTGATCAAGATAACATATATAAAAAACCAGTGAAAAGATTAAGATGTGGCAAATGCCTGACCACCTACTGTAATGCAGAAGCACTTGAGGCTCACCTTGCACAAAAGAAATGTCAGACACTCTTTGGATTTGATTCAGATGATGAAAGTAAGTCTTCTATGCTCTCAGTAGATAAATCTATAGAAACAGAAAGTGCCATAAGTATAACAGGTCTCAGTGAGGCTAAAAAAATTAACATTTGTGTAGCACAGATGGTAAAACATTACCTCAGACATTGTTTTCTTTATAATCACTGTGACATGGTATTAGTATTCCTGTATTACAGATCAACTAAAATTCACAAGTTAAATAATTTATATAGGCATAAGCCTATGAATTGGTGGAAGCTGGAACTTGGACACAGGTTTTCCATATATTTATCCTATTTCACTATATCATAGGCTTTTCTTCATTCTAGGTTTCATATAACAAAAGTTCTAGGCACTAAATAATTTTCTTAAAAATTATTTGTTTCTCTGTATGCCACAATGTAAATTTTCTATCACAAAAACAGAAGTTAAAAAAAGAACCAGAAAATAATTGAAAAACAAGAGGAGCAAAAGAAGAGCTTGTCTTTCTACTAATATCACTATCCTTTGAGTGAGGGTATAAATTTTTTTTAAAAATTAACTTAGAATTCCAGTTGAATATCTATAAAATATGAATTAACAGAAGTGTTCTGTTTTACAGGTGCCTGATAAAAATGTTTCAGAAAGATCTGTCGATCAAACAGTAGTGTGAAAAAAAGCACTACAAGAAAATGCATCATCAGTTTGCTATTTCCCTGATGGCCTTAATTTTAGAGCGGTCTCGGATTACTAAAGATAAAGAAAAAGCACATTTTCTAGAATGAACTTGCAGAGGAGATGTGCTAAGACTCCAAAAGGGTTATTATACAACTCCCAAAGTACCAGTTATCCAGAAAACCACATTTTTTTAGAAGTTTATGATGATTGATAGCAGCATGTTCAGTTTTGCTTGTGAAAACATGTTTGGGCAACTAGTTAGAAAGGAAAACCAGCCATGGCCTTACAGAAAGGAAAAAAGTTAACCCATTTACAAAAAGGAGATGAAAGGGAAGCTGGTTTACAATAATAAACAATGTAAAGCATTCTACAAATGAAATTTGTTTTGTTTTCATGCATAATCAGATTATGTCCTCCCTTCTGGTCACACATATTTTAAGGAACCATTGCCCTTTGGTTTGTGATACAATTTAGAAGCTGACACATAGAAAGAAAACTTAATTTATCACAGTGTTATCTACTGAAAATCCTAACATATTTCCAGATAATTAGGTCAGAGTTCAATGAATGATTTGCAAATAAGCTCTTACTAAACTCTTCCATTTTTTAATACAAATACAAATGTTTGTAATACAAATCAGTTATATTTAAAAGACAGCAATGTCAAAGAAAGTGAAAAGTACCACCAGTAACTTTGGCAGGATACGGGATAAATCTGAGACCAATACAGGCTGTATAGTTGAAAGAAAACACTGAATTGCAAATTCCTCAATGTGAATAATGGTTAAAGCATACTGGGATATTTCTATTTGTATACAGTGTTAGGACATTGCTTGGTGATTCATAGTAAGGTCCTTTAGACATTAGTGTGAGTTATCTAAGTATAGTCCTATGAAAATAACTGCTTAAAAATTGTCAACTAAAAAGCTAATAATTGATTCATTTTATTTAGTTAAGAGTCAATTCCAAAATAAGCCATACTACTCATGCTTTTTATTCATTAGTGATAAATTTGGTCTGAATAAACTTTTATATAAAAAAGGGAAGTATTTACACAAAAATTTGCACAGCAGGAACATGATGAGATATATTAATGTATTATTTTCCTTAGTGACCAGTAATTTTCCTATGAAAGATTTTAATTTAATTATTTAAACAATAAATATTGTAAAAGTTTAAAAGAAAAGCTTCTTGAATGTTTTCCATTTCCATTATTGAAAGGAGAATAAAGACCTCCTTTTACCTAATAGTAAATTGTATTAATCTAAAAGAGATGAGAACAAAAATGCAAAGGCACATTCTTTGAAAACAGACCTAGTAATATACTGTCAACTAAATATCCCAGTTATGCCAACTGATAAACTTTTGTTTAGAGAAGAGAATCCTATCAGACTCTATTATTATAAATTGTAGACTATTAGAGCTTCCTCATTAAGGTTACTTTTCTTTAGGGTAGCATCCAGATTTTATCAAATTATGACTTCCAGGTCATGGTATATCAGATGATCAAAAAAATACTTAATTTTATTAGATTATTATGGACATTCACTTCTATGCAATGATGGTCAAAAATCCATTCCAATAAAATTAAGTTTTTGTTGTGTAGCCTATATTAGGCTGAAATTTACATATATATAATAGATAAGTAAACACAACTCAATCAAGTTTTTAAATATTTTAAGGTCAATTTAAAGAAAATGTTTTCCATATTTCCTGATAACTAAAAATGTAATAAGTGAATTTTATTTCAGTTCATTCTAAAAGTACATTATATAATAAAAACTGTTTGGAACCTGGTTCATTTGGACAGTGAAGTTTTTTTGAAATATAATTTCTGCTTTGTACATGTTCCAAAAGTTTAAAATAACATTTTACCACATTTTAACTTCTTTACAAGTTGTAACTATTGACATAAATCTGTTACCACAATTCTGAAGTTCATGCTAAGATGTTTTAAACATATTTTAACTATTATTGTCTCCCTAAATTTATTTTGAGGTTTTATTTCTACTTTTGTGTTGCTAGGAGAAAATTTTCTGAAAGATCAAACTGGTTTATATACAACTAAGTCAAGGAATATCATAAAATACTCTTTGATTACATTGTTTTAACCTCTTTATATACGTTGCACATAATGAATACTGAAAGAATGTGTGTATCTTGTTGTATCTGTCTTCTAAAACATAAGCCTACATCATTCTGCTTTTATGGGTGCATAAACTTAAAACAGTTTTTATCTGGGATTCAAAAGAAAAGGAAGCGTTCTTTTTCTCAGCTTCTTTTCTACTATTTTAAGGATATTATCTTATATGGAACAAGTTTTAAATTTTTGTTTTAAATAAAAATTTCCTTCAAAAAATTACATGCTAACCTTTTACTATGTGTCAGTAAGGTCAAGAAGAGAGTAAATCTGAATTTTTGCTGCTCAGACATTATAGTGGATAAAGAAAAGGGGAATCTGTGGACAAGGACACTGGTACTTTGGGCTTTAGCCATATTTGTTATTTTAAACAATTACCAATTATATAATGCATACATAATTTATATCATTGACCTTGTGATTCTTTTCAAATCACACTGAACATTCAGACATACTCCTTGTTTGGTCTAATATTGTTGTATGAAAAATCTAAAAGGGATGATAGTGTTTATTTTTTAATTTATTTGGTACTGTAAAACACCTTTTCAGAATGGGTAAATGCTGTGTATGCATTTTGAAATTGTTAATATGTGAAAGATATTACAGATTCAGCAAGAAAGGAAATTTGTGCTTCCTTGTTGAATATTAAATTATTTTACTTTGCATTTTATAAGAGTACAAATTAAAACTGAGCCATTGAACTGCAATAAATCAACAATAGTGTCTCATTTCAAGAAATTTTTGTACTGTACATAGATTTGTTCAATAAAACATTGTCCTTGTTGATAATGCAAGTGTTCAGTTTTATGTAGTACATTGATTTTAAAAGAAATTAAGCTTGGGCCGGGGATTTTAGCTCAGCACCTCTCTGGCTTTGCAAGCGCAACATCCTGAGTTCGATTCCCAGTACCAAAAAGAAAAAAAAAAGAAATTAAGCCTATTCTAAGGTATATATGAAATGAGAACTTTCAGTTGTGTCTCATAAGGCAATGGGGTATTTCAGTTAGTACTATTTTCAAATTATTGAATGATTTTTCAACTATATAAAATAGATCTAAGTTTATATAAAACAGACATTTTCCACATTATGATAATGCTTATATGAAGGAATAACAGTTGCTAGAATACTGGTTACTAAATTTATTTCAGATGTGTGGTTTCAGTGTGATACATTACCATACAAACCCGGAAGGGATTAAGAAATACTAGTATTCTCCAAAAGCAAGACAGTGGATAGATTTTCTGGTGGAACTTTAAAATAAAGGATAGACAGAAGTCTCTTTAAAATTTTAGAGTATGGCCGGGGATGGATTTAGCTCAGTGGTTTCGCTGCCTGCTGTGCAAGCGCAAGGACCCGAGTTCGATCCCTGGTACCAAGGGGAAAAAAAAAATTTTAGAGTATGCTTGTCACGATGCACACACCTGTAGACCCAGTTACTCTGGAAGCTGAGGCAGGACAGTTTGAGCCCAGGATTTGGGGCTAACCTGGGCAACAAAGGGGACCTCCTGTCCTGAAAAGGACTGAGGGTGCAGCTTAATAGTACTATGTGTGCTTAGCATATGTGACGTCCTGATTTCAATCCCTAACACCAGAAAAAAAAAAGATACCAATCATGATGAAAATTATTTCCTGCGAAGTATTTCAGTGGGGAAATTATTAAGTCAGTCTAAAACCAAAATAGATGTTCTGTCACTAACAAAAACCCTATACAGTCTTTGCTAAAACAACTGGAAAAATTGAGGCTTTTAAGAAAAATAACATCTTTGTAATGCAATGAGCATTTAAACTGAAAGAATAAATAGTGGGTTAAAATAATTTGTACATAGCACAAACGTGTTGCTTTGAAACAGTTCTGAAGCATTCTAATGCTGAGATCTAAAATTCTCAGTCTGATTTAAGGCCATAATGATCTCAGAAATGTGATCCATTTTCAGGATAATCAATGTCTTAAGGTATACAGGCAAGTTGTTGGGGTTTGGTTAATTAAGTCTTAGTCTGTTTTGTCTTGCTATAACAAAATACATTACATTGAATACCGTACTAAAAAGATATACTTGGCTTACAATTTTGGTGGCCAGAAAGTCCAAACAGCATTGTACCACACTTTAGTTGTATCACAATATAGTGATGAAGTGGGAATGGAACTAGTGTGCAGATGAGGCAAGTGTGGTAACCAGGGAAAGAAGATGGACCAGGTTCATCCTTTTATAGCAACAAATGCCCTCTGGAAAGTCTTTCAAAAGTTACCTTAACACATTGCCGGCAGCTTGAACCACCAGTGGTACATGGATGACTGGCCCATCTGGCAGCATGGGACAGTCCCCTCAGGTGGTACAAGCTGCCTGATGAGACAGTCATGCATATACAGCCCTGGTGTGAAAATGTTGATCCCTTCCAAGAGTTATGCCCCCATTATCTGAATTTCTTAACAGCCCCATTACTTTGACATATCGAGCACTAAAGCTTCCAGCACAAGGAAGTTTGGAGGTCAGAATCATATCCACACCAAAGCACAGAGTATAATATAAAATCTATACTGATTTCAAGAATCAGTGGGTTACAGGGACCGAAGTTTGAGCTATATATCTGGATTCTAAGTAGTCAACCCAATATTAAATAGAATAAAACTGAGAAGTTTATCCCTTATTGATGAGTACAGTATACTGGGAAGAAATGGCTTCTATTTTACTAAATTATTAAATGTGAACACTGGACTACTGTATAGTCTCCTAATTGGGCTCCCTTTCCTTTATTCTTGTCTTCAATCTACTCTTCATAGCAGCCAAGGGGCCCTGCTTGAAGCTAGTTAGATCATTATATTTTTCAATTTAATGAGTTCACAATTTACCATGTGCCAGACTTTCTAATAAGGCGATGAAAAAACAAAAATAAAAACCATTGCCTCACAAGCCACTGGGGAATGGGAAAGGAGGCAACAAACAATACAGTGTAAGTGGTATGGAGAAAAAGTGGGTAAGAAACAGGAATAAGCAAGGTGTTGGTTGTGACTCTTAAAAGGACAATGGAACAAAATCTCTCAAACTGATTTTTTTTTTAAGTGCTGGGGTTTAAAACCAGGGCCTTCAAACTGTGCTACATCCTCTGCCCTTTTTAATCTTTTCTGGTTTGAGATTGGGTCTTGCTAAATTGCTAAGTAGCCCAGGATTGGCTTGAATTTGTGATCTTCCTGCCTCAGCCACTCAGTGATGGGATTACAGGTATGCATCACCACACTCAGCTTGATAAACTTTGAACCAGGGACTTCAATACTGTAAGAGAAAGAGAGCTCTTCAGATATTTGACATAGTCTGTCAGGCAAAACAGTAAGATCAAAGGTTTTGTGACAGACCTGAATGAAGGTACAAACAGGAAAACATTGTAATAAATAGGAAATTAAGTCAGAGGTAAAAACTAAAGCCAAAATCTGTATGATGGCCAAAAGTCTCTAGATCTCCACTAAAACAGCAGCCACTAACAACATGTGGCTATTAAAATTTAGTTGAAATTCAAATAAAATTTGAAATTCAGTTCCTCAATTTCACGGGTCACATTACAATATCTCAGTAACCTCATGTGGCTAATGGTTACTGTATTGGTAGCACAAAGAACATTTTCATCTTCTCATTTAACAAGTTGCTTTATATCAACCTCAGTGGACATTTAACAATATCTAGAGTTAAATTTGCATTCTGAAACTGAAAGGAAGAGGTGTTACTCACCAGTGGATAGAAGCCAGGGATGTAGGCAAGCATCCTTCAATGCACAAGTTAATCCCCCTAACAAAGAATTATCTTGCCCAAAATGTCAGTTATCCTATATTTAAAAAAAAACAAAGTGACTCAAACTCAGTTTCTCCTATTATACTCACAATACAGATCACTATCAATTAACAGATAGGTGGAGTTCTTCCCCACACCCCAAGCAAGAAATTAATTCCTGTTGTGAGAACACTAGCTGGATGTGCTCTAATTCAATTCAATTCAGATACCGCCTACCTGGAGATAATATTGGATCCCAAAAGCTGAGGCTCAGCTCCAAGAGTATGTGTCCCTGGATAGTTTGTTTCCCTTGTGCTTCTGAGCTCTAAATTGAGGTCAAAACCTCCTCCTTGGATTCAGTTAATCTGAGTAGCTCACAGAATTCAGGGAAAGCTTAATGTACTGATTTATTATAAAAAATGTTACAAAATACAAAGATGAACAGTTGTATTCATCCAGCTTTGGAAGAAGAGACATGGAGCTTCTATGCTTCTTCCATGTTACCAGTCAGCCATGGGCTTTTAGCTCAATGCAGATGGAAATCATGAAATTGGCATGTCACTGGAGTCTAAGGAAGTTCTACAAGATGAAATAGAAGCCTCAACTTGCCTCCCCTTTGAAGTAGGTTTTTTGACTCTTGTTATGATTTGTGTCTAGATGTCCTACTAAAGTTTCATGCGGTCATAGGTGGGGCGTCTTCAGAGGTGGCTGAATATAGAGTGTGTGATGCTGGCTTTAAGAGTATGTGATTACTAAATCAGTCTACTGACTGGTTTGGTACCACTCTAATGCCGGTTAGACAGAGTATAAAACGGGCAGAAACACGCTGCTAAGGTCCCTTGCTTGTCTTGCTACCTTCTGCCTACCATCTCCTCTGTGATGCTTGTTTGCCATGCCACCCTGCCTTGGAGCCTGCCGATTATGGACTGAAACCTCTACAAACTGTGAACCAAATAAACTTTTCCTCCCTTAACTTTGAGTGTCAGGTATTTTGTCCCAGCAATGAGAAAAGAAAGACATTTGTCATAAAAAAAGAATTTCATGACTCATCAGTGAGACAGGCAGATGTGTTAAGCATTTAAAAACAGAAAAAATAAGGAAGGAGTGTTAGCTTGAAGATATAAAGGAAGCCCAGCTCTGATGACAAGACTCAGACTGGCTCATTAATTAAATTAATAGTAAAATAAATAAAATAATAAATTAATAAAAATAAAATTAATAAAAGGGACTAGTTTTTATGGCTTTGCTGGGGTAGGTTGATGGGTGGACATTTCCATTGGGTCATAACTATGGCATTTTGGGGATCCATATTTGAGAGGATTTCCTCTGTGGCTTATGGATTAGTGGCAATTCTTACTCTTGGATCTATCCTGATGTTTCCCCTGCTTTTATAGGAACCTGCTCCTTGCAATAAGAGCAGGGGATCAGCAGAGGGTACATTCTATACATTGTCAGCAAAGTAGGATGGAGAAAAAGATGTACCTATCTTTAATGAGTAACACATCATGGGTTAAGGCCTAAGAATCCACGTCTCCTGTCTCAATAGGTTACCTGTCTTATTTTATCCAGATGTGCCAAAACTCCTTGAGCTTTCACATGTTCAGCTACCCAGAACCTCTCTAGACCCTGTCCTTCTGAGTTTTCAATGGAGAGCTCATTGCATAGGCAAGACTGAATGGACAACCATGTCAAAATGTGATTGGGGGGCCGGGGATTTAGCTCAGTGGTTCCGCTGCCTGCCTCGAAAGCAAAAGGTCCTGAGTTCGATCCCCGGTACCAAAAAACACCCCCCAAAAACCAAAAAAACCAAAATATGATTGGACAAAATGGGTCTGATCTAATGATAACAATGAATGGAGAAATCCAGCAAGGCCTGTTTGTTTAGCTATTCTTGGCCTCCCTGTGCAGCTTTCTTCCCTCAAGCGTATTAGGTAGGACCCTTCTGGAATGAGAAAGGTCTTAAGACCTACTATCAAAGGTAGATCACAAAATTTATGGCCTACTCTTAGAAATGCAGCAAAGATGAGACTTTATGACTGGTGATGCGGAAAGAAAATTCTAGTTTCTATGACCTGCCTAGGGGTGGAAATTCTGAACCATGAAAAAACAAAAAAATACAGATACATATATATATATATATATATATGTGCATATATACATATACACACATATATATCACAAGTGCCATGGTTGAGAAACCCTGCTTTAGATCAGTCTTAACTGTAATCCTAACCACAGTGCTGTCTTCTACATAAAGCTGCTTCAGCCTCTTGGACTCCTTATGTGCTAAGCGCAGCCCTCTAGCCTCAAAATCTCTACTGTTGCTTCTTCCTAGAATACTCTTCTGTGGTTTACTCCCTCACTTTCTTTTGACCTTTCTTTATGTCACTTTGAGAAGCCTTTTCTTACATCCTGTATAAAACAGTAACATCCTCTCCATCTTCCTCTTTTGATTTATTTTTCATCTGGTAGAGGATAGTTTCTTAGAGGTTTATTATCTGTTTCTGCCCACTGGAATACATGTCCCAAAGGACTTGAATTTGTTCCTATTGCAGAAAATGATGGCTGGTGTTAGTTAAATACATTTTTTAAAAAGTGAAGCATTAAATGAATAAAATAAAGTCAGGCATGCCTTCCATGTAGTCTCATAACAGTACATATGAGCACTTACCATATCTCTTTACTGGCAAAAATCATTAAAGGAGGGTGTCATTTCTCAGAATCTTCAATACCTACCATAAAAGGTACTCATCAATGCTTAAGGCGAAATAAAAAATTGGTGTGTATGAATGAATGGTACCCCTGAATAATATCATTTGACAACTTACCTGTGCTTTCAATGCTTTGTTTTAAAGACCATATTTATAGTTTATTTATGACCAATATTTAGCTATGGCATTAAGAAAATGTTAAATTTCCTCACCTGGATCTGCAGAATCGTACATTTCAGCTACTCAATGCCAAACTTTAAGTTAACTCATCTAAAATATGGCTCACAATGGAAGCAGACAGAAGTAATGTGTTTAAGTGTGAGTCCTCAGTCTAGCAGAGCACGACTGTCAGTTTATGTGACTTGCTATCATACTAATAACATCCAATATACACATTCAGCTTCTACTGGGAACGAGGTACTGTTCTTCGCCCTTCCCCCTCACAATCCTAGATCCATTTTGAGATATGAACCTCACGGACCAAAAAACCTAAGGAGCTTGCTCAGAGTCACAATTAGTAAATGGCGTAGTAAAACCCGGTAGCCTGGTTTACAGGAATGCCCAATCTCAAACTGCGCGCGACACTCTCTCTTAAAGCAGAACGACAAAGGGAGCGGAGCCAATTTGAGAGAAGTCGGGTGGAAGGCGGGCAGGCGTGGGATATGTGATTATCTTTTTTTCTTTTTACTTTTCGTAGTGTAATGTTAAACCAAAATTTATTTTAATTCGTGTAATTTTAGAATATTAAAGTACCGGCTCAGCCAACTGAGAAGTGGTCGCAGAGACCATTTAAGCGCTCCCGGGGGCCAGGCCTGTGGGCGGGGAGGGGCGTCCTCCATTGGCCTGCCCCGTAGCATCACGGGAGCTCGGCCAGCGCCGGGGCCGACTTCCGCTTTCCACCCACCTGCAACCGCGCACCCTTCAGGACGCCGTTTGGAAGAGAAGGGACTCCTGGTGAGTTCAGGGATTCTTTTTGTAACTCGCTTTCTGTGGAAAGTCGACGTTCTCCGTCTAAATGCGGTTCCTCTCTTAAGTGAGGTGTGCGGAACTTTGCTCCAAGACATCCCGGAACCGCAAGTCAGGAGCACAGCCTTTTCTCCTTGACCCCGGAGATCACTTCCGTTTAGGGGTCTGGAATACCTGAGTTCCTTCTACGGCGAACGACAGGAAAGGTACTTCCGGTGTCTGTTGCCAAGGCGCCGGCCCGGTGGGCCGTAGCTACTTTATTGGCGCGGTCCTCTTCCCCTTTCCCCGGGGGTCAAGATGTCTGGGCTCAGTCAGTCAGAAATGGAAGGCTGTCGTAATCTGCTCGGCCTACTGGACAACGACGAGATCATGGCCCTGTGCGACACCGTCACCAACCGCCTGGTGCATCCTGAGGACCGCCAAGGTACCAGCCGCCGTCGCCCCTCCTCGACCCCAAGTTACGGTAGCGTGGGAGTGGAGGGAGTTCAAGGCCGAGCCCCCTCTTGGATCCCGTCACTCTGGGTCAGAATCCCGTCACCGTCTTTGGTGCTGGTGGCCCAGAAACCAGCACGCAGACTTCGGCTGGCGGTGCTGCTAATGGCGCAGCTTCCTCCGGGTTTTATCCTTGTAATGTTATGGGCAAATGCTTGTTCTTTGGAGGATACGTAGTACCTCTAATTTCCTGGGAACCAGAGTGTTTAACTTAATTATCAGCTTCTGTCAGCTGAGGAGTCAGCTGCTGCTCAGCCTGGTCAAGCTAGAGAGGAGGAGGATAACACTTTGCGCTTAGATAAAACACCTACTGTGATAAAGAGATGGAGGGTTTGAATCCAAGTCTCCTTTTGAAGGCAGAATTTTCCGGAGACGATTTTGTGTTTAAGGATACTTTCAGAATCAGATACACATGAATGCAGAGTCTATTATCAAGGGTTACTAAGTCGGATGTACCTTTTGTTCATTTAAGAAAATCGGTCATTTGTATTTTTGAACAGTGAACATTAAAAAGAAAGACATCTTTGGGCCGGGGATTTAGCTCAGTGGTTCCGGCGTCGGCTCCACAAGCGCTAGGACCCTAGTTCGAGCTCCCGTACCAAAAAAACAGAAAAGAAAGACATCCTTAAAAATTTAGACTGAAAAAATTTTAAACTAATGTTGGTCTGCAGCATTTATAATTTTACATGTTAATCACCTCACAGTTATGGTGAGTGTGAATTTAAAATTGTAATAGGTAAAAATGCTGGAAATAATTGGCAGTGAATCTAAGAGCAAATAAGAAGAAAAAAAAATAAAAACTTCCCAGTACAACATGTTTAAGTGATTTGAAGAAAGAGTTCAGGAAAAAAAAAAAGCAATAAGCATATAAAAAGATATTCGACATTTTTAGAAAACAAAATCCAAACCAAAAGGTGTCTTTTCTACGTACCAGATTGACAAAGCATTAAAAAAAAACTGCCTGTTGGTGATCAGATGAAGAAACTCTGACAACTAATGGAGGAATGTAAATTACAGCTACCCCACTGAAAAACAAATTTCACATTATCTCCTAAAATGAGATTAGACACTTAATCTAGACAAGTGGTGGTGAACCTACAATGTGCATGAAATTGTGTTTTTCTTTTAAGACAAAAGATGTTAATGTATGAGTTGTTTCTACACTAAGCCCTCAGCATTCAGGTTTAATTGCAGTATTGGCATTTTGTGATAAATAAGTGAGTTTGGGGTTGGCGGTTTGGGCACTTGTCTCTAAAAGGTTTGCCATCACTGCTTTAGACTTTGGCTTATCAAACTTAAATGTACCTTTGAATCCCTCAGGGGTTTTATTAAAATGCGGATTCTGATTCAGTAGTTTGGGTAGGCTTGAAGTGCATCTCTAACAAACATGATACTCCTGCTGCTCACCCTTCTGTGCACTGGCAGAAGTGTATGAGAATATTCAGAGTACTAATGTTGGTAATAGTACTAATAATACTATTAGTAATAGCATAACAAAAGTCTGTAAACAAGAATAGAAACCTTGCATTTTCACAAGTGAGAAAGAATTAACTATAGCTACTTATCTACATACAGTAATCTCAAAAATAACACTAAATGAAAAGCTGATTCCAGAAGACTACCCATACTCGTGTATTGGATTTATAGAACATTTTTAAATGCCATACTAAATAGATGTTTAGGAACACTTACTTATGCAATACAATTATAAAGAAAAGCAGGAAATGTTTGGAGGATAGTGGCTGTTGTGTAAGATGAGTGAGAAGAGACAGTAACAACACTAGAGAGGTGAAACGGGGCCTTAAAGATGCTAGTACAGTAATTTCCTATGCTTTAAGATCTGTAGGAGGTATTATATAGGAGTATGTTTTATTGCCATTCTGTATACCTCACACATATAAAAAGTTCTTGGTTTGAGATATATAGATTGATTTTTTTTTTTTGAGAGAGAGACATGGTCTCACTGTATAGTTCAGGCTGCCCTTGAACTTCCTACATAGCCCAGGCTGGCCTCAAACTTGTGATCCTTATACCTCAGCCTGCCAAGTGCTGGCATTGCAGGCATGCATCACTTTGCCTGGCTTTATGAATAAATATTTTTAATTAAAAAAACAAGTTCTGGTTATGCCACTTCCTAAGGGTATGACTCTTGGTATCTTGTGTATATTCAACTCTGAGTTCTTTAGATTGAGAAAAGTGATCCAAAGTTCCTTGATGTCTAAAATACTGTAATTTTACTGGTGTTTTAAGAGGTTTTATATGAATTCAGATCTTGTGGTCTTATTAGCTAAACATTTTTTTCTGGCTTGAATTTGTTCTTAAAACACACTTCTTTTAAAAATTGGGCCAGAATTTTACTATTGCTTATAGAAAGTGAAAGGAAGGGGGACTCTTTTTCAATGAGGATGTTTAAGCCATGAAATTAAAAATCCTACAACCCACTTCTTGTTTTTTAAAAATAATCATCCCTTGGGCCAGGGATTTAGCTCAGTGGTTTCACTGCCTGCTAAGCAAGTGCAAGGACCCGAGTTTGATTCCTGGTACCAAAAAAAAAAAAAAAACCAAACATAAAAATAACCATCCCACATGCAAAAGCAAATTCCATGGTAAGAGTTACTTTGTGGAAGAATTTCTGCTTTACATTGGACAAATTTGTAAGTGCCTCATGACTTTTTTCTTTTCATTGTGATTTTCTTCTAGATGCTATTCGAGCAATATTAGTGTACAGTCAAAGTGTAGAAGAACTTCTGAGGCGTAGAAAAGTCCACCGAGAAGCCATATTTAAGTACTTGGCAACTCAGGAGATTGTTGTATCTCCAGCTACTGAGAAACACAATCTTATTCAGCATGCAAAAGATTACTGGGACAAGCGATCAGAGCTGGAACTGAAAAAAATGCCAGAGCCAATTACAAAGAAGGAGGACATCCAACTCTTTCAACAGGTAAACAGATCTTGTAGTTACATTCTGAATCCTTGTTCTGTCTTAAGCTCCATAGATAATCCTAGATCTGGGGAACATAGTTGATAATATTTATATCTTGTAATTTAACTTTACTTCATAACCTTTGCATCCTAAAAGAAGAAAGACCAGTAAAGCAACTTAGAGAAAAAAAAACATTTTTGACATTTATTGATTTATGAGGGAAAAAATTTTTCCTCACTTATCATCAAATGAGAACTATTGGATTTTTTAAAGGTAAACTGTTAAGATTAATTTTATGTTAGTTTGGACTCTAGTTCTCCAATTTTTTTCTCCCACTTTAAATCACTATGTGGGCATGAGAAGCGGATTTGAGGATGGAGAGAGATGAAAAGTAGGGGAGGGAAAGCAGAAGTAAAAAGGAACAAAGTGTGATTAAATATATGTACAGTTTCCCATGATGAATGTGGTTATTATTTATTGTAAACATATACTAATAAAGTTAAAAAGAAAACTATTGTAAATCCTTTCACATTTTTAAGATTTCATTGCCATCAGTACAAAAATGTCATGAGAAAAGCTGGAAATATTTAGCTAGAAAAAATCCTGTAGCTATTGTCTTTAGCCACTATAGGCTGTTGCTATTTTTATGTGTGCATTTTAGATGTCGAATGAGAATTTAATGTTAACTGACTGAAGTTAATCATTTTGCCTTCATATTAGGAAAGGATCTAAGAACTTTTTTAATGTACTGAAAAGAGAATGGGCTTTGAAATAATATAGATGTTATTTCATATTAAGGTTTGCAGTATAGTAGGTGTGTGAGATTAGGCAAATAATTTGACCTTTCTGAGCTTTGTTTTCTTCATCTATAAAATTATCATAATGGATCTAGGGGTTTAGTACAGTGATGGTACAAGGCCCCCAACAACACCCCCCGAAAAATCTTAGCAATAATATCAATGTCGTAGGATTTATTGTGAAGATAGGAGAAAATAACACTTAAGTGAGGTGCACCTTGCCCTGAATTTTCAGTAGCAGATAATAATTAAACGTAGGGGAGCAGCCAGGGATTTAACTCAGTGGTTCCGCCTCATAAGCGCAAGGTCCTGAGTTTGATCCCCCGTACCAAAAAAAAAAAACAAAAAAACCAGAGGATCAGACCTCAAGGCTGGGAGGCTTCAGGTGCAGTGCTAAGCCCAGCCAGCGAGAGAAAGGGCATGAGATGCCTTGACAATGATATAAAAGTGAAGTGCCAAAGTAAGGCAAGACTGCTGAGAATTCAGCTGCTTAAAAAAAAGGAACTCAACCATTTCAGTGAGGTACTATACTCTAGAATATGTGGATAAATGAAATGTAATTTACCAGATACTTTTTTGCAATAATGTATTCTTTGTAAAAGGAGAAATAATCATATAAAATTAATCCCAGTTATAGAAAATGACCTACTTTAACCCCTTTTAAAATATGTGTTTAAACTTGGCAAAAAGGTTGATTTATCATAATCTTAGCAGAATATAATTTACATGCAGCAGAGCACATCCATTTGAAGCATAGTTTGAAGGTTGCGACAGACGGATCCTGCCAAAATCAAGAGAAAATTGTTATATAGTTCATTATCATTGTTAATGCTGATGTTTTAATAGGTGTTGTTACTTTCATCTAAGACTTCATATTCATGAATATGATACGTAAAGTTCCTTCTTCTACTTTTTATTTATTTTTTGAGAGACAAGGTGTCGGTGTTGCCCAAGCTAGACTTGAACTCCTGGGCTCAAGCAGTCCTGCCTCAGCCTCCCTAATTGCTATGACTACAGGTGTACTACTGCCTTATTATTAACTTTACTTAGCTACATTTTAAGCTTTTTGAGCTAGAAAATTCTCAAATGATTTTTCTCCTCTTTGAAAACAGCTTGTCTATACATGATGGGTAGTTCCCTTTGCTGTAATCCGTAAACCGAAACCTAGCTCTGAAACAAACTAGATACAAAAAGTAGATGTGAAAGTTAAACCTTAGCTTTATTTTTTATTTTATCAGCAGGCAAAAGAAGATAAAAAAGCTGAAAAAGTTGATTTTCATCGCCTAGGAGAAGAATTTTGTCACTGGTTCTTTGAACTTCTCAATTCACAGAATCCTTTAATGGGACCACCTCAGGATGAATGGGGGCCACAGCACTTCTGGCATGATGTCAAGCTTAGGTTTTATTACAACACATCAGAACAAAATGTGATAGACTACCATGGAGCAGAAATTGTGAGCCTTCGCTTGTTGTCACTAGTAAAAGAAGAATTTCTTTTTCTTAACCCCAACTTAGATTCTCGTGGACTGAAATGTGCTTCTTCTCCCCATGGATTAGTTATGATTGGAGTTGCAGGAACAGTCCACCGAGGGGACACTTGTTTAGGCATTTTTGAACAAATCTTTGGACTTATCCGCTGTCCTTTTGTGGAAAATACTTGGAAGATCAAATTTATCAACCTGAGAATCATTGGAGGAAATTCCCTTGCTCCTGGAACAGTACTGAAACCTGCTGTTACATTTGAACAGAGTGATCTAGAGGCTTTTTATAATGTAATCACTTTGTGTGATAACACTGAAGTAAGACTTAATGTAAAGCAGACATTGGACAGTGGGACTGGAGACCAGGCTTTATGTAGTGGAAATGAGGCATTGTTAAACAAAAGAGAACCCAGTTTACCTAACCCTCTGAAGCACTGACACTGTGTATCATCATAAAAAATCTTTATACAGAAACTCTTCCAAATACGTCAGTAATTTCTAAGTGATTTCAGATGTGAGGATTGACATTTTAATTGAAATACCTTTCTTTACTACACAATTACATATTAAGTGAATATTTGCCTATTTCTACCTGAGTTGTAGTAAAAGTTCTGAGAACTTACTGCAGTTCATCGATAAATCCCACTTTAGATGTAGTTAACTGTGTCTCTTAGAAACCAAGTAATATGTTCATTATACTATTCTACCACTGTGGGAAAGGATTAGTAGTGTTCAAGGCTTCCTTAAATTATTCATTTACTATTCTCTAAATCCAGATATTGGATATTTTACAAATGCATCTCCCTTATTCTTTTTTAAAAACTTAAATGTTGTAGATATTTAATGTAAACTCAGGGTTCTCATTTTAGAAAACTCAAATGACATTCATGCAAAAATCTAGTAATTTATTTAGTAGGGGAAGAAAAATTTACTGCCTCTTTATAGAACATTTCTCAAAGTTGCTGCTCTTGTCAAAGCTAAATAGCTCTCATAATCTACATGTTTTATATTATTTTGGGCAACAATAACTGTTATTCTTAAAATAGACCTTATTCCTACCTAGGCTTAATTTAACAGCTTTATTGAGCATTTATTATAACAACATAAAGGAAATATGCTGTTGAAATTTTAAAGGGATACCCAGTTCTAAATTTTAAGTGAATTATTGCTGTTACTCTTGATTGATCTTGTCAGACATGACTCCTCCCCCCAAAAACCCCATGAATTTATAACATGGGTATACATATACATGTTTCTACATACACCACACATCGTAATCTTGTTAAGAATTATCTCTAATTTGTGTTACTAGGTCTGAGTCTCAAAGTTGGGTTGCTGATTTAATAACACATGCTTTAAAATTTAAATGACAAATTATCCAGCAACTTTGTTGAACCTGAATTTAGTTAAGGAATTTGAATTTATAAAGGTGCCACTTGGGAATAAAATTCAACTGGAAAGTACAGTGATGTATATGTTAAGTTTTAACATATGTCATGATCCTCTAGGGAGACATACAAATATTGGAAGCAGGAGAAAAACACTCATCTTTTTTGTATATTTAATGACATTCCTCTTAGGAGGGATTGGTATGTCTGAAAATAAGAACTTTAATAAAGGAAGGAAATCCCTTTTGTCTGTGTAAGAATAGTATATTGTTTAGATTTAATTTACAATTGTTCTTAAAAGTTTTAGGCATTTCACAAAAACAAAGCAAATTTTACTGCTTCTAGTTACACTATTAGTATAATTAGATATAAAAAGTAATTGCCCATTATAATTTGATAAAAACAGGCAGATCAAAAGTCAGTCTTTGTGCCCACAGTTCTGCTTGGTTTGAAATCAGTTTTATTTTTTAGATTTGAAGTACCACTGAAAAATATCCTTAATAAAGGATAAAATTAAAAACCATCTCTTTTCTTTGTGCTATTGATGTCAAGTACTGCAGAAATATACAAATTGTCAGACTGGGTAGGGATTTCCTCTAGTTATCTTCCGTGTTGTATTTTTATAAAGCCCAAGTAAGGCTTCAGTTTCTGCACATAGTTTTAATCAGTTTTTAAAATTTAGAATCTTGATAGACTATGGCAGTGATAGTGAGCCTTTTTTTTTTCCATTAAGATTATTGGTACATTTTAGGTATACAATACAGTTACATTCATCATTGGGATCTTGTACCTTTACATGATGTATCTTGGTTCTTATTTTTTCCCCATTCCCCT